TCCTTACGCATGTAATTTTCCTCCTCGGCTTTTAATAACTTCAAGGGAAACTTTTTTCCCCTTATCCCCCCCCGTCCTCGTCCCCTTTTTCCGCATGCAGGGGCCGGGGGCTTCTGCGCTCCCTGCAGAAACGCCGCGTCCCCAGCGCGTGCCACGGCCGTTTTGTTGGGATTCGGTGCATAACGGCTGAGGATAAAAGTTTAAATGTGCGTGTGTGTATGTGCGTGACACGGGTACTGCGCTGTATGAAAAGATGCCCCAAGTTAGCGTTGCTGGGAAGACGGCCTGGGAGTTTATGTTGGTTTTTTTTTTGTTTGGGTTTGGGTTTTTTTTATGTGTGTCTGTGTGCTTTCCTCCTTAGTTTTATTAAAGTGTTTAGTGGGAGAAACAAAGGTTGGAGGGGCTGCTGCTTTACTAGCTTTTGTTTACTTACAATCAAGTTTTTCCTGTTTGGAGCAGGTGCGAAAGGATGAGAAGCATGTTGTGTTGGGGATTTTTCTCTTAACCACCCCCCCCCCCCTTAATAAAACTATTATGGACAATTAACAGTAAACGTTATCTCCAAGGCTGTTTCTTTGGCTTGTGTTACCAAAAAGCCGATCTGTTTGTTACAGCTGCTAGGAGGCTTTAGTTTACAGTAGCATTCAAGTTTTTCCTGTTTTGAACAGGTTATGAAGGAAGAATGGAGTTTCCAGACCATAGCCGCCAGTTGCTGCAGTGTCTGAGTCAGCAGCGTCACCAGGGCTTCCTGTGTGACTGTACTGTTTTAGTTGGAGAAGCTCAATTCAGAGCTCACAGAGCCGTTCTTGCCTCTTGCAGTATGTACTTCCATCTTTTCTACAGGGACCAGTTAGACAAAAGGGATATTGTGCATCTGAACAGTGACATTGTCACAGCCCCTGCCTTCAGCCTGCTGCTCGAATTCATGTACGAGGGAAAGCTGGAATTCAACAGTCTCCCGGTTGAAGATGTGCTGGCTGCAGCTAGCTACCTTCACATGTATGACATTGTGAAAGTCTGCAAGGGCAAGTTGAAAGATAAAGAATTATGTTCGGAAGAGAAGATTAATGATGAAGCGGCTAGTTTGGAGAAAGCGGAGCATTTTCTCGATGCCGGAGTGCCCCTGGTCCACGAGTTTGACCCAGGAAACAAACAAAAATTCAGCGTTGCAGAATACGAGAGAGCGGCAGGCAAAGAAAAGGTCAGCAGTCACCCCGCCTGGTCCTCTGATCATATAAGTGTCAGCTCTGTGCCGACAGAGGCAGAACCGTGCGCCACAGCAGCTGGAAAAACAAAGGCTAATGTCAATAGTTCCACAGGACCTTTGTCCCAAAGGTCTGTTAACCATCCCCTGGCTTCGAGTGATGTGGACTGTGCGCTGGATTTGTCTTTCAAGCCCGTGCCGGGGAGAGATTCCTTACACCCCTCCTATGTCTTTGGACAGCTGGCTTCCGACAGCCAGCAGCAGGGTACCGAGCCACTTGTTAAAGATGAACAAGACTTGCTGTCAGATCAGGAGGACGGTGAAGCCAGGAGTCCGGAGAGTCAGCATTTTGGGAATTCAGCCAAAAGCCTAGTGACAGGGTTAGGACACATGTTCGCGGGGAATGGCAGCTCTCATGCCCGAGAGGAGGATATAGAGCAAGAGCGAGACGAGAGTGAGGACGACATGGATTCCTCGGACATCTCCTCGGGCGTCCTCGTGCCTCCCGGGCATATCTGCATTTGCCCGCTGTGCAGCAAGGTGTTCCCGAGCCCGCACATCCTACAGCTGCACCTGAGCTCGCACTTCCGCGACAAGGACGGCTCCCGGCTCCCGTCCCCGCCTGTCCCCCGACGGGTCCGTCCCCACTTGCACCCTCTGTGGAAAGACTTTTTCTTGCATGTACACGCTCAAGAGGCATGAGCGGACTCACTCGGGGGAGAAGCCCTACACCTGCGGGCAGTGCGGGAAGAGCTTCCAGTACTCCCACAACCTCAGCCGCCACGCGGTCGTGCACACCAGGGAGAAGCCCCATGGGTGCAAGTGGTGCGAGAGACGCTTCACGCAGTCTGGGGATTTGTACAGACACATCCGCAAATTTCATTGTGGCCTTGTAAAGTCCTTGGTGGTTTGAGATGCGTGATTTCTTTCTTTTTTTTTTTTTTTTAATTATTATTATTTTATTTGGTTTTCCCTCCTGCCCTTTTAAAACAAAACAGGAAAAAAAAAAAAAGGCAGCGTCTGAATTTATTTCTTTTTTGGTCTTCCTCTCCCTTTTATTTTATTTTGGTGATACTCACTTCAGGTATATGATCTTTAAAAGATGCAGAGGTATACACTCCAGAGGCCTTTTAATGCAGTCCTTCCACTTCTCCATCTCCCCGCTTCCCTTGCCACCCTCTCTTCCCAGCACTGTCCTTTAGGTCTTCCCTTGCGCACCCATGTTACATTATTAATGTGAAATGACCTAAGTAATTCTGCTATGATTTAGCATGTATTTTCATTTTGGAAGTACTTGCTTCGTGGTCAGGTTTTCTTTCCTTTTTTTTTTAATTTGAAAAAAGATTATCACTGAATGCCAGAGAAAAATTTGGATTCCATTAAGCTCCCCTAATGCTCTCTGCATGGTGCGTGGAAACATCTGAAGGGATGAACTACAATTTAAATACACTCCAGTGTAGAGAAACTTGTCTGCATATCACAGAGTGAGTGGCCGTACTCTTACGTTATAGAGCTAGGTGAGACCTTGAATTGGCCCAGATTATAAAGGGGGTTGAGGATTCCTGTCTGCATCTTTGGTACTGGTCATTTTTTATTTATTACATTAATAAATATCATTAAAATGGTTCTGCAGTCAGTCCTAAAATCTGAATGCCTTGGGACTTGACTTAAATTTTCCCCTCTCACCCACCCTCATCCCTGGGCTGACCTACTGAAAAGCTGCTTTTGAGCATAAAACGTGGGTGGAAAAAACTCTTTCTGTTCCCAGCATATACACTCCTATAATGTTGAAGGATGCACAATAGGACGAAGGAAAAAAAACCCACATGATAAGTGAATATTTTCGTTCCCATATGGACACCTAGGGGCTGGGTGACAGCATCCTTACAGGGGCTAAATAACCCTTCCTGGGGAGTCTTAGTTAAAGGTGACTCATACCATGTGTGTTATGAGATGCCCTGCTATCTTGTCTGAAAAGTTTGCTGCTAGACTGAAATCAGCAGCTCGGAATTATGTTTAATTTTTTTAACGAAGTTGGTGATTCCCTCTTGGCCAAATTCTGTGCAATTGCCGGTGTTTCGAAGGGGCGCTATGAAGTTAAACAGCTGGAGGGAAAACATGTCCCAGCTTCTTTCCCCATGTCCCACCTTTTCAGGGGAGGGTTTTGGGGTATTTTTAGGTGCTTTCTGTTTGTTTGTTTTTTAGTTTGTTTGTAAACTGAGGCTGCCTGTAACTGTAACCAGTTTTACTCCAAATAACTCAATTATTTGCTTAATAGAGCATCCTTTGAGCTGTGCATGCCAGAAAATACAAGATTATCCCGTTCCAGTCAAATTACCCATTCAAGGTACATGTACACAGGACTGAAACATAATAATAATATTTGAGGGGTTCGAATGTCGTTCTGCTGTGTTAGCGTTGCTTCACCAGCTTTCCTGACACTCCTGGAGTTGTTTTGTGAAACTTAGAGCGTTTATTTTAAAACCATTTTGAAGCACTGAGTTAGATTCTTTTAAAAAGTTGTGCTTAAAATACTGTATTTCATCTTATGAAGAAAAGATTTCCCAATGCCTTCCCTTTCTGGTCCAAAAACTGAGCACTACCTACATAAATAATATGGGATTGATATTTTTTTTTTTTTAAAAGAAGTACTTCTTCTGTAAAAGAAAATCAGGAAACATTTGTTACAGCCTCCTTTTATTATTCATCTCCTAAACTATGAATGTACATGTAATGTGAAATTTTGCTTCTATTTATAGTTTTGAGTTTTGTTTTCAGTCTGATTTCTTGACTGTAAAATATTTTTGCTGAACCTGTTACATATGAAAGTTGTGGGAGAGTACTGTATCTTGAACAGAAGTGGCTTTGGTACTGTGGTCTTATCCTACTTAATCAGATTTTTCTTTTTTTTTTTTTTTGCTGTGATTGGAAATAGCACTGAACAAAAATCTACTAAAATTAAGTTATTTTTCTTTCTACTAAAATTAAGTTATTTTTTTTCTCCTGAAGATACTTGATATAGTATTTATTAGATTTTTTTTTTTTTGAAGTGGAATTATTACTGTTAATCTATTTCAAAACTAGTTAATTTACACTTCACTTTAAATTTTATAACAGTGGGATTTGCATGTTGAACAACATGTAAAGCGTTTAATGTAGAGCCAGCATTACTGAAGCTGGTAATCTTAATTTTGCATTCTTGTGACACTTTCTGCATTTCAGTCTTCAATTACTGTTTGTTTTGTTGTTTTGTTTTGGTTTTTTTTTAAAAATCGTAAAATAGGATGTGCCATAAGAACATCATTAGCATATGGAGCAGGGAAAAGTTGAAATAAGTTTGTGTCTGATCTTAGTATAGAAGTAATTCATTAAATTGATGCTATGAGCATGCTCTGTACTGCAGTGAATATGGGGCAAAAGTTTGTTGTTTTGTTTTTTTTTTTTTAAAAAAAAGACTTTCTTGACTACATCATGAACATGCTGTTCTCATAGTCTGGTAATTGTGTTCCCACTCCTCATAGCTTGAATTTCTAAAGTAAAAAAAAAAAAATGTTTGCACTTATTTTTGTTCTTAAGGTGACTTTTTTTTGGCTATCTGTGTCTCACTTATTTTTAAGTTGCAATGGCTTGGAGCATGTTTTCAAAATGGTTTGTGGCTCTGCAGAGAAGTACTAAAACCATGGCACACTTAACGCTTGTCTTTTCATAAACTATTTCACTGTGGGGCGATTGCTGTCTCTGTAGGGAACAGCCCTGCTCCGCATTTTAAACACTGGATTTGTCTTCTACAAACAAATACTGTGAAGTTAATGTAAAAAAAAAAAAATCATTGATATTTTTAATTGTTTTTAATCTTGGTGCAGTTCAGATTAAAATATGTATATTTAAAGACACTAATTTTTGTGGGAGAGTTTTATAGTATACAGTATGTAGAAAAGCTATTGGAATGGAATATATTTTATAAAAATGTTCTATCACTGTTTTATAGTGAACTATTTTTTCTTCAGTGTTAGTGTAATACTGTTAGCCTAGATCTGACAATCGCAGGAAGAGTGATTCAAGCTACTGTTAGCGCCTAGTTTTGCGTGGAGTTCTCTTTGCAACTGTATTGGTATGTGCTGTACAATGTGACAATCGTGACTAGGATTGTTGTCTTTATAAATTTACACAAAATAAAACGTGCTAGAGTTGTAAGCTTGAGCCTCCTCCCCCCTTTAGCGGGAGGGGTGTGGGTGTTTGGGTTTTTTGTTATCATTTATTAATTATTTTTTATTAATATCTTACAGGTGGTTGTGTTGCTTTTAAAAAATATATATATGCTCTAATATTTCTTTCTTTTCCAGGTCCAAATGGAATTTTAGGCATGTGAGGAGCTGCTGTATCTCAGTCAGAGCCTGACTGAGCATTTCCTTAGTCACTGGGCAGGATGGGAACCAGCACCACTTCTGCATTTTAACCGGAGTGTCGGGGAGGTTTGGACGGGCTCAACTCCCTCTTCAGAGCCCTGAGTGAGCTTTGGACCAGCCCTGCCCTCAGCTATGCTGCTTTACAGCTGCAGGCTGGTGCTGGGGACTGGGTGGCAAGCCTGTGACGTGCATGGACAGGCTGGCACCTCCTGTGCCCTCCAGCATCCCCACAGCATTGGGATGACCCAAGCCACATTGGCGAACTTGCCTGAAGGGTTTTCTTAAGCACCAAATCTCTCCTAGGCTTGGGAGGGCTAAGGCCTGCTCCAACTCCTGCTGATGTCCGCCTTAAAACTTCATCTGACTTCAGCAG